GTATGTCCCCATTGTTTACCCTATCACAAAACTCATAATTCTCAGTAAAGCCTACTGAAATAAGTGGAAAAAGTGCTAAGATGCTTTTGAAAAGTTCCACTGGCTTCATCTATGCAGCTTTATGTACCTGAAGAGGTTAAGTCCACAGGCAGAGTTGGACTGTTTCAATGTCTGTGCCTGCCCAAGGAGCTTACTGGGACAGAATCTCTTCTCCTTTTGCCCACTGTACCATAATGCTTTCCATGCCAAGGGAGGCACTATTCTGCAAAGGTTAGTTCATGATGAGGCCCAAGTCCTCTAAATCTTTTAGGAAAAAATTTAATTTCCTTTCTTTTTTATTTTTTCTTTATCTTTCCCATTTCTTTAACATTTCTTTTAATTTATTCTTTCTACATGATTCTAAATTTAGGAAAGCATTTTCACCTTTGTACCTCTCAATTTCTTCTTCTATTTTTAACTCCCCTTTTACTCCCTACCACCATTTATATGCTTCCTCTGGCTCTTCCTTCTTCCTTCTAGTGCTTCAAACAAGAGTCATCCCACCATGGGTCATCAGAGTAGAATGTTGAGCTTTACTTACCACTCCTACTTCTTATTATGTACTTTGTGGAATCCCTCTCTACACCTAAAAACATCAGAATAGAGCAAGGAGAGGACCTGATACTGTTCTGCCCAGGAAAGACTGCACGCAGCTCCTAATGGCTTGGACACATGCAAGATGTGAGACTTCATGAACTAGAATTACATATCCAATTCAATAAATTATGTTAGGGAAACATATGAGCCAAGGGTTGTTTCAGCATCCAAGTTCCCTTCAGGAGAACTGTTTGGTGCCATCATCAGAGTGGGAAATGAAGAAATGAAAAGGGCAGCAAATGAATACTCATAGTCTCTTCTGGTCTCACAGACCAGAAGTCAAAGGAGGAAAGGTATCCATTTTTGTCCCTCTATGTATGTTATTCCTTGGTAAACTGAAAAATAATTCTGGTTTTGCCCTGTTCCTGTTTCCTCAAACTCCCATGTCTCTGAAGTGAATTCATGCATTTGAACTGGAATGAAGGGATGAAATTTGAACAAAACACTGTGCTGTTGCTATATTCCCCACTTTTATTGGTTTTGGAAGTAAAAATATTAGAATTAATGTTTTTCCCAAGGGAATGCAGTAAAAACATTTAAATTATTTCCTATGTAGGTTTTGTATTTTTGGAGCAAATTTAGAAAGGAGATGAAATTTTCTCCTAAAATGAGATCAACAAAAGAATCTTTCAGGACAGAAACATAAAGCCTTTATCAACATAAAAATGATATAATATATGTGGATGTACATAATAATATTGCTAGAAGTGAGTGTTGTCTTGCATTATACAACAAATGAGAGGAATGTGTGTAAATATAGACCAAAAGGCTGGATGAAGACCTATAGAGGTATTCTTTCAAAATATTAAGTAGACAATGCTGAGGGTGAAGATGGACATACCAAGGAATTTAGTAAAGGAATGATTCATAATAAATAGATGTGAGTGCAGGACACAGTATGTGTCATTCTTTGAAAGATGCAAGAAGCCTTCAAGGTGTCAGTCATGTCAGAGCTTGGGTGTTTAATGTTCATGCCCAAGGAGGGCAAAGCAGCAGCTGGAAGCCAAGGCCAGCAGGAAGCTTATCATGCAGGTCCAAACTGCTTAGTGTTGTTTGTGTCACTGCCTTGCTGGGAGAGGCGATATTATGTCCCGATGATACATCAGGACAGCGCAAACATTGTGACACCATGTCAAGACATCACTCTCTGTACTGTATAAGGAACTGGCTTGCTGAGCTCTGCGAGGCACAGTATGGCTGATCTGGTGGGTTTGCTCACCAAGCCACAGGGTTTGAAAACTGACTACAAATATTCAAAAAGAGGTAAACGTTGGTCTGTGTTTATAAAGGACTGAGAACTTTTTTTTTTTGCCCAGCCACAAGTATCTCAAAATAGTTTTTGTTTAGTTCTCGAAATATTCCTGTAGGAACCTCCCCTGGGAGTTTAGGAAATAAATAGCTTATCCTGGACAGACTATTTATTTCCAAGATGTTTACTCATGCAATCCATGTGATTGTAAAGTGCCTCCATTTCTCAAGCTCTCTTTCAGTTCCTTAGGGGCGCATAATTTAAACCTAGCAACTTTCCCCATATACTGACAGACTGTTATTCCTAAATATTGAACTGGTAGCTCCAATTGTCTATTCATAGTGCAACTATTAATGTGGCAAGAGAGGGTGGTTTATGATTAAGTTTGAAATGCCCAGACTCCCTGGAACCACAAGTTCAAATCCCTGCAAGATCAGCGCTTTGCCCCTCTGTCTGCACTACATGCACTCTACAATCTCAAGTCACCCACAAAAAGACCTGAAATTAGGTCTGTCTGATCAACTTATATTGTAAAGGTCCACAAGTCATGCGTTGTCAAAAGGGGCTACCCCAATATTTGTGCACATGCTCCCTCACACCTGTGCTTGCTCAATAGCATTGTGATAGCTAGATGTTTACTGCCACCCGTCATAGAGCTGACTTGTAATTCAGTGCGGATGGTGCGGTCCAACTGCTTTTCCATTGACAAAAGTTATGGTCCTCCTGAACCATACCTTTTCAAACCAATGCAATTCTAATCTAAGAGCCAATACTTTGAAAACACATGCTTCAAAATAAAATGCTGCCAATTAGCTGTTAGCAGCAAGCACTGTGAAATTCACACTGCAGTAAAAAAATCTTCAGTTTATTCTCACTACCTGTTTTCCAAAAGAAGAGCTTTTTCATGGCAGATTTAATACTAATTTCCCATTTATTTTTTGAGCAAGAAAAGCAGTGAGAACTTAAAATCAAGATGGCAACAGATATACTTCATCAACATACAGCCATCTTGCAACAGATCCTCAGTGTTCCTTAAGCATCCATGTGAAGCCAATTAACCGATTTTTCTGATTGAAATAGACAGCAAGCACCAGAGATTAAACAACAATAAACATAGCATGTAGATAATTTGACTAGCCCATTTTCCTATGATTAATTAATTCTAGATTTCTATTCAGTAGCTTATTCAGTTAGCAGCACTGCTGAAACTCCTAAAAAATGCTAAATATGTTAATTAGGGAGTCTCTGCAGCAAAGGATGGCCAGGTGGGTAGCTAGCAGGTCTATAATAAGAGAAGCAGCAGCTGAAGCTAGATCACTTGAAAAACAGAGGAAGACAGAAGACAGAACCTGGTAAGCCTGTTTTATTTTATCAAATTTCCTGCAAAATGTATTCTCCTTAGTACACTCTGACATTCTTAAATAGTTATCTTTCTCTGTTGTTTTTAGACTTCTCATCTCCTTTATCTGTAATGGTATTAGGGCAGAAAAAAATCTGTTGCTTGTATGCATGTATCTCTCAAAAGTACAGAGAAGTGTGAAATAAAAAAGTCATTGTTATTTTCCTTATAAGCTTTGGTTGAAAATACTTGTTAGAAACTAATTTAAGTAAAAAATATTTTTAAGTGGCTATCTAAACTTTAACAATTAAGAGAAAAACATTAAAAATGTATAGCTGAGGTTAGGTTTGGGGGAGGGGTGGAGGCTGCAAACTCCTTATTCTTTCTTAGAGCTTAATCTTGTAAGCTTACTGCTAGTAAGCTTCTATGATAAAGACTAAGGGAAGTCAATCTGTCTAAACAGGAAAGGAAAAAGGCAGTGTCTGTAGGTTGAGTGCTGCTTATAACGTGTCACACAATAGCACGATAGCACTACTGAGAAGTGAGAGGAGAAATGGGTATCCAAATAAAAGTGATTATGGGGTACCCCTCCCTCTTTCTAAGGAGAAAAAAAATCCCAAACAAACCACAAAAGAGCTGATTTCTGCTGATAGAGAATCGGTTTCTATCTCTTGCTTCCTCTGTGTTTAGAAACACAAAGTGCATGTGAAACTCTCCTAGGAAACTTAAATCCTACAGTGAGGCAAAACACTGACAAGAAATGGAGAACTAATGCCTTTTACTTCAGCAAATATATCTCCCTGCCCTCCTGTGCCCCCTTTCATCATAATCCTGATGTCTTGCCCCTCCAAGTACAACCAACGTCTCAATCAGTTTAGAATATAAGCATTTATATACAGTTTAGAATATAAGCATTTAAAACATACTGCCCCCTTGCATGAAATATCTGAATTATCCCATGAAAGCAAAGAGTTGAACCGTTACTAAAAGTACTTAAATGCTCATCTAATTGAGATATTTATCTTAAATATACTTTAAACTGGATATTTTTATCTTGGGCTTCTCCAGGTGTAAGAAGTTGAGTTCCTTTTTGTTGGGGATTTGCAAATGGACAGGGAAAATGCTACTAGCAAAAGCAACCTTGCCATTGTTGTAAATTCAGTTGAAAATAGACTTGCACAAAATGTATTCTTTTAGAATCAAAGCTTAGGATCAACTGAAGTAAGCCAAATATCAAGTATGTAGGAGAGACTGAGAGGTTTGTGAGCCCCTTTAAAGAATTAAGAGAAACAAAATACCCACTGGACTAAGAAATGGCTGGGTGAATCCAGGAATTCTCTGCACATCTCTTAGGAGCACTTGAATTTTTGCTACACTGTGGTAATCTCTCTGGTATCTAACAGTTTTCATCTACATACACAGTGTTAGCAGCTGCAACCCCAAAAGTATGTTAGTTGTGTACTCTGAAGGAGAAAACACTGTCTTAATGATGCTGTGGTTAATAAAAAACTTCTAGCACATTTGGAGCTTCACATGTAGAAGACTGGAAAGTGTTGTATGTGTGACCAGCTGTCTTCTAATGTTCTGTTTTCCAAACCCTTGAACACTTATCTATACAAAGGATAAATTCCATGTAAAGACAGAATGTAGATGTGAATTTAGGAACACCTTGGATTTAACAGCTTACTGTTAAAAAGCACTTAGTATTGCATCTCTTTCTGTGTGAGCAATAACACAATCTTCATATTTTCCTAAGGCAATAAACCTGACTTCAAGATGTTGGAGGAAGATGATTCTTTTCTAAATGTTAAAAGATCTCTGAAAAAGAGAATGGTGAAACACAGCACCCCAGTGGACTCAATGCTTTCAAGAACAGATCTTACAGATCTGACAAATCAGTCAATCAAGGACCAAGATACCAGTAAGAGAGTTTATGGATCTCCAGTGCCAAAATCAAATACAAGTAGACCGTTACCTCAAGTATCATTAGTAAGCATTAACGCATACTTTCCTCATATGTCCCCCAAAAGGCTTTCAACAGTGTTTGACTCGCAAGAATTAAATAAAGAGAAAAGCCAAAGCTCTCAGCTTGTATTTTCTAGAAGGAGGCTTTCCACTGTGTTGGCATCTGATGAATCAAATCAAGAGTCAAGTGACGTGGAAACTCAAGCTACTACCAAAGCATTTGTGGAGGCTGCAGGAACTCACAAGAGTGGACCTTCACGGCTTGTTACTGGAATACCAGGGATTAAAGATCTCCCAATAGCAAAAACCAGAAAGAAGAAAACTGATAAAGCTCTTGTGGTAAAGGCTTTTAGTTATGCAATAGCTAATAATCTACCCCTTTCTTTGTTTAATTCAAATCGTAGTACTTTATAAAAAGAATGCTAGACATTGCAAATGGGATCTTGTGCGCAGTCCTTTTGATTAGTGTAGGGTTTCCTAGGGAAAGCTTAGATTAATAGACCTTATGCAGGTTTTGATTGTCTGTGGAGCACAAGAACTCAGTTGGCTTGAATTTTAATTATTAGCAAAGGGCCTGTGGAAAGCCCTTAGAAAGGATAGGGAGGCAGTAGATTTAGATTCTGTAGGTGGTCAGTGTGAAGCCATCAAATTCTGCTCTGGTTTGGTTTTTCCTCTGTAACCTATTGTTCATGGATGTGTTGAAAACTCAAGAAAACTTACTAGCTCTGAGAGTATAAGAGCTTCTTGTCTTAAAACAATGGAAAACTTCAGTCAAAATCCAGTTGGGTCATAATACCTTTGTGTATGTTGTTTGTTTTTGAAAGCAGGGGACATCTGAATGAATTAGGTTAACTAAATAATATTTTCTCTTCTATAACAGAGAAAGAAAGAAAGAGAATGGCTACTTCGTCAACTTAAAAACATCGAAGAGGCAACTAAACATGAACTGATAATTGAAGAAGCTTGAATGGGGTACCTATGGGATTAATGCCGTCACATCCATCTTGTGGGAATAACCAGTTCCAGTAAATCCCACTCTTGACTACAATACCTGTTAGACTTCCTCTTTCCTTCCAAAATGTTCTGTTGTTGTTTTGTGATTTTTCTTGTGTCTTAAATCTAGGAGAAGTCAGGTACAAATTAAGAAGTGCCTCTACATGAGAGCCAATCTTAATTTATAATGGCTGAAAGCCTGGAACAAAGAAGGCAAGGAGAACTTTGTATAAGAATCCCTCTTCATCCTGCCACAGCTCTTCCCTACCATACTTTTTTATGTAGTATTCCAATCTTCTAGGGTTGCTGATGTTTCTTAAGTGACAAAGTCCTAGTGGTCACATAGAGTATAATCCTGGTTAGCCAAAGGAGAATCTCCTCATCTAAAGAGTAGTCACAGCTGATGCAATCTGGAATATTTTTGCTGCTAGCTGGAGAGATGAGGAAATACTGAGAGGCACCAAGGAGGGAGGCCTTGTAATCTAGAGATTACTAATTAACAACTGTTTTGAAGTTTTGGTTCAAAATGAGTTTGTCCCAGCCTTGGATTGTAAATGTAACTCATTGTTGCACTGGAGATACTTAATGCTCTTGTGTTTTGCGGGAGTATGACTTTTCTGTTTTTTCTCTGGAGCTGCTGCATGTCAGTCAAGAGGGGTGTGTTACCTGACAGCTGTATTGTCAAAATGGTAGTTTAGTTCACAGGATCTTTCTGAAGCATCAGTTAAGTGATGCAAAAACCCTAATATTTGTGTTAGTTCCTACTCCTGTCTGTTATTTAATCTTTAGGCTGAGTTTATCACTTCTAAGTGATCTATGGAGTGCCAGCAGCAGGAATGCAGAATGTATTTACCACCTACATGCGCATATTTCTGTACTTGTGTAGCTCTAGCATGTGTGCTTTCCTGGCTATACTGTTTTTTCAGCTGTTCCAGGCACTACCTAATTACCCCAAAGAGGAGAGGTCTGGTTCAGGAGAAGATGCAAGTTAAGAATGGAGGCAAGTGACACTTTTTCATTTCCTTCTCACACACTGTAACTTGTAATATCTCATGTTCGAGGTGGCAGAGAAGCAGAAGTATGTCCCAAGGCAACATTATGAGACAGGCTGACCCGTCTCATAACACAGCATCTGTGTTATGCTCAAAATTGTAAGAGTTGGAGTCGTGGCTTTAAAACCTCTCAGGATTTAAAAGGAATTGGGATGTTTTTGCTAATGATTCCTGAAGTGAAATTCCTCAGAGTTTCTCAGGAGAACAGCTTTATCCTCAGACCTGGCTTTCTGTGTAGCCAGGCAGTGGGGTGATGCTGTCCCTCAGGTCATCAGTCAAGGCACGCTCACTTCATTTGATGTTTAGTTAATGTTCTGGTATTTGTTTGTGTGTGTTACCCAGGCTGCTTGTCTGACCCCTACAGCTTCCTCTGGCAACTAGAGAGCTCCTGGCTGGTGTAGATCCCAAGCTGCTTTTGAGATAAAATAGGCATGGTTGCAGATGTGCTGCTATTCCCCCTGAGCTTGCAGGCATTTCATCAGTATCTATGATTTGTGCCAGGGGCTGAACTAAGATCAGGCAAGTGCAAGGTTAGTGTAAAACCCTCTTCTACCCCTGGGACAAGCACAGATTAGTCTGGCTGCATGACCCAATGCTTAATCCAAATGACCCAGTTCTATCTCTTGTTTATTTGTTCCTTCCCAGAGAGTCAGTTCCAGTTGTTCCTTCTTCAGGCTTCTCATCCTAATCTCAGAAAGTCCTGATACTGCTTCTGATTTCCTTTCTTGCGGTCACCTCTCAAAGTCACTCTTGTCTCCTGCCCATTCAGTTCCTTGGTCTTCAAATATCTCCGTCTAACGTCTTGTCCAATTTGGCCTCTAGTTGCTTCCTTTCTTATAAGATACAGAGATCTTCTGTCTTCCATGCCTGCTCTTTATTGCTGCATTCCTTGCCCATCTGATACCCAACATCAGTCTTTTGCCAAAACTCAGACTCAGCTGTCATACCCCTAAGTGCCTTTATCTACTTAGGCTGACTCCACTCCACGATGCTACGCCAAGTGGAAAGGTCAGCTGGGACAAGTTAAAGCTCTTAGGAGGCCAGGGATGTAGTTACTGGGAAAGTCCACCTCAGGCCCTGCTTCAGGTTACATCAAAAGGAAGAGAAATCCAGGGAATATGGCTACTTAACATTGGCTTTGTGCCAAATGCAATACAAAACTTCTGAAAATTCAGAACACACTAAATGCTGTGAAAGCTTTCCAGGGAACAAGGTTGCCACCCCGTCAGCTTCATAGAATGAGTTGGTGCCAATAAAACCTCCAAAAATTTCCTCTGTGGAGGAAAACACACTGCCCTGAATGGTAATGCAGAACTGACTTTGGGTCTTTTCAAGTTCTGAAGCTGTATCAGGCAGCCAGATGCAAAAAAATCAGGGCTCTCATGATTTTGGAAACTATTTCTATTTCTCCTCTAGAACATTAAGAAGAAATACAGAAGACTATACAGCATTTATCTTGTAGTAATTTAGGTACTCATGAATTTGCAAAAGTTAAAAAATGGCTTACAGTATTTAATGAGAAAATATTAATGAAATCAACTGGTGCTTCAGGGATTTTCCAACATGTGTCTGTTACTCTACATCGACAGTATCAATAGTTAATTATATTAAGCTAAGGGTCTTCAACCAGGCCTATGTACTACATTAGACCTTAGTGAATGATTTTTCCCAAAGAAAGGCTTGTCTCTATTAAACCAGCATGTTAGAGAATATGAAACTACATATATCAAACTACGTATATAAAACTATACTGCTGTTACTGTACTTCACATATAAGTAAGGGGGGGAAAAAAAGAAAAAAAGAAAACAAAAAACCCAAACTAAACAACTAGTATTTCTTTGTTTACTGGGCTTGCACTTTCTTTTGTGTCTCTTGTAGACTACTGGAATTTAATGTTAGAGTTTAATGATACAGCTAGTTTTTTGTCATAGTATGTATGCATGCCTTTGAAAGGCTTTGAGAAAGGTACTAGTAGTATGCAATTTCACTACTGTTTAACGTTCATCCTCTAGTGGCAACAATGGCAAATTGCTATTTGGTTAGTGCTTCTTCTTATGGGCAAAGTTACTGTATGAGTTTTTATATTACAGTATCAACATAGTGCAAAAGAAAAAAACTTAAATGGAGCTGTAGAGTCCAACATCTCTGCAAAGAAGTCCTTCTAATTATTATGGACCTTAAGTATGGATTGCAGCTGCTGAGGCTGGAAAAGATTAGGGACTACAGACACCAGATTCTTATGAGACGATAATCCCCAAAGTATCATGTTCTTTAAAATGAAAAGCCCTTTTCCTGCATGGGTGAATGTGAATCAGAGTTGCAACAGGTTCCTGAGCCTTGCTCTTGTCCTGACTTTCAAATGCAACATGGACATGTTTGTAATTTCAGAACAGCCTTCCCACTGAGGGTGTTCTTTTAGGGCAGTATTTTTCCTTTTGGAGTGAAGGTATGACCTTGACCTATGGAACTGTTTTCAGTACACTTGTCCCTCAACGGATATTACACAACCTACCTGCTGAGGGTGACTAAGCATGATGTTGGATGAAGAAGAACAAAAACATTACCAAGAACAGAGGGAAGAGACAGAAATGTCTTCATCCTGGATTTATGAACTTGGCCTTGTTCTCACTGAAGCAATGGTAATACTCCTGTTGACAGAGCTGTGAGTGTTCTGCCAAGCTGCAGTGCTTCTACTGGAGGACGGTATGAAGAGAAAAATATTTAGCACACATAGTTAACATATTTCAGATCTAAATAACAGAGAGCTGGTAACTAAGTCCTTCCTTCACTGATCACAGCTGAACAATTTTAGAATAACTAAAAAAAGTAGAAAACTAAATAAAAACAAATTTTTATTTTTTTCCTCTAAATCACAACATAGTTATGCTCCAGATAAAACCCTGAGTAATAAATCATACGGTAGTGTCACTGACCTATACTTGGTTGTTTTGTCCTGTAAGGCATACAGGCACAAAAGTCTCCCATAGCTCCATCTATTGGTGCACTTCACAATGCCTATTAAAACAGCTCACTCCTCAACACTTCTGACGTATTAGAAACAAATGAACAAACACTGAGCTTAACAGTACCTAGAAAAGTTGGACCAGTTGAAGCAATTGGGTAATATTTTCAAATGTTATTGAAAACTTGAGCTAGGCACATAACCTAGGACCTCACTTAGGATGTAGAACCTGCACTGCCCACCCCCCACCCCACCCAAACCTTGCTCAGGCCTTATACTGCTATGCAATTATGCAAATTTATGCAAAAATTCTGTACAATTAAATTGTATTTAATAGTGGAATCAGTCCTAATGGGTATGCAAGTCCTGTAGAGCTTGACAGTTGCCAAACTCCTGGGTCTGCCCATACATGTGGCTTCATAGCACTTATACCAACCCCACCCCTCCACCCTGAAACGGTATATGCACATGGAGATGCGTAGCAGGCACCACTGAGACAGGATGTATATCTACCTGACTTTAGTTCTAGCAATCTACTGTATAAAACTCTAGGAAGCAGAGACTGCATTTCAAATCTCCTTCTCATCTTAGAACCTTGAAACCAAGCATCCTAGGTCACAAGGCAATCACCATCTCTAGGCTTACTGTGGAGTCAGTGCTTTTAAGTGTTACCTGTCAAAGTTGTTTTACTTTGCTTAAGTGCTCATTAAAAATAAGATCGAACTTGTATCATTCCTCTGGCACTCACCGTCTTGCATCTTTTATTTCTCAGTGAATTTGTGTGATTTTCCTGTTTTACTTCATTTTTATAGAAGAAATTAAAAGAAGGAAGGAGAAAAACATCCTTCCTTACTCCCAGGGAGCAAAAACACAGAGAAAGAAATATCTTTTGTGCTTCTTACTGTTGCTTTAATTTTGATCCCTTTTGTCGTCCTCCACTTCGTCCTTTTGGCCTTTCC